CATGATATTTTCAATAGCCTCATATGCATGTGAGAGATGGACAACGAATAAGGAAGACCGAAGAAGAGTTGATACATTTGAGTGTGGTGTTGGGGAAGAATGCTGAAAGTACCACGTACTACCAGAAGAACTAACAAATCTATCCTGGAAGAATTGCAGCTAAAATCCTCTTTGGAAGCAAGATTGGCCCAACTTCATCTCAGCTATTTTGCTCATGTTTTCTGAAGGGACCATTCGCTGGAGAACGATATCATGCTTGGTGAAGTGTAGAGTCAGTGAAAAAGGGGACGGCCCTGAATGAGATGGAGTGACAGTGGCTGCAGTGATGGGCTCAAGTATAACAAAGATTGTGATACTGAAGCAGGACTGTGCAGTGTTTCATTCTGTTGTACACAGGGTCATTATGAGTCAGAGCCAATTCAATGGCACCTAACAACAACAGTACTGAGATGCCATAAATCTGGAGCAACGTTATTTTAATTTTTTTCGGATTTTTTGACTCTTAGTTGTACTACATTCAAATAAAAGATCCTCAAGATAATAAGCCTATAGTTTCAAATTTTCAAATGAGATTATTATAATTATAATTACTTTTATACCCAGAGCAGGAAGAGACACAGACATATTTTCAAGTTGGTACCTTCTGAAGACAGAATATCCCCTGTATATTATTTTGCAGATAATATAGCCCCAGGTTTAGGTAGAATATCTGGTTCAGCTGCCCCCCACACACTTGCTTGAGCCTAAGGCTTATCTCTCTTTCCTAACAAATGACTTAATTCACCCCACATCAGGATTCCTGATATTAGTTTCTAACCCCAAGGAAATACATTGTCTGTGTTCATAGTTACATTGCCCACTGTGGCTTCTGCTGCATCTAAATATTTTGTTTTGGTCTTCAAGTGTTTATTCATACTACCCTGCAAACAAGAATACATTAAAAAGCATTTATCATTATATTTGTTGGAAATTCTAGCAGCTGACATGTCACTATAAATGAGATCAGCTCAATGGCAACAGCTTTGTTTTTTTGTTTGCAGAGGACATTTTAGAATACTTAGTGTGCATTACTACTGAAAATGGAAGTCAGCCTCATCTCAACATCTCCAAAGTGAGCTAATTAAACGTATCTCACAGAAGTACTGTGGAGGTTAAATCTGCTAATATTTATAAATGCCTAACCCTGCTGAATTATAACTAAACCCACAGCCACAAGTTGATCCCAACTCTTATTGATCTCCATTGGGTTTCTGAGGCTGTAAATCTTTACAGAAGTAGATTGCTTCATTTTCCTCCCACAGACCAGCTGGTGGGTTTGAACCTCTGACCTTCTGTTTAGCAGCCAAATGTCTTAATAAATAGTCACTATTATTAACTCCACTAAGGTACACTTGACCTAAGCCATGGTTTTTCAATTGCATCAATTATGCATGCAAAAGCTGGACAATGAGAAGGTAAAACAGAAGAAGATTATGCATTTGAACTATGGTGTTGGCAAAGAACATTAAATATAATGTGTACTGCCAGAAGAAAGAACAAATCAGTTTTAGAAGGAATACTTAGAATGCTCCTTAGAAGTGAGAGTGGTGAAACATCTTTTCATTTACTTTGGAAATGTCAATTGTTAGGTCGATTGCTAAAAAGAGACATCATGGTTGATATAGTAGAGGGTCAAGAAGATTAGGGAAACAAAC